TAGCTGAAATAAAATGGAAGTTGATTCCTCTCTGCCTTAACAGACTAGAGTAGATGTTCCTATGAAGAGAGGTAGCTTCTACTCTAAGTAATTGTTTAGTGACCCAGATTAATGCGGACTCTGCCATCTATAGCCCATTCCTGCTCAGATGATTCCAGCTATCGCCATCACCATTCCAGCCCACAGAAGAGAAAAAGAGGCTGGAGGAGATTCATGGAGGATTTATGAACTGGGCCCTCTGGTCCTCTGATGCTTTCACACATCACTTCTGCTCACATTCCAATGGAGATAACTGAGTCCTATGTCACCTCTAACTACAAGGAACACTGAGCATATGGCTGCTCAGATAGTATAGAAGAAGTGGATAAAGAATTTTGATGGACGGTTAACAGTCTCTAAAAAGAAAAAAAATCCCTGGGAGAATATGCACCTAACACTAATAGTGATTATCTCCTGAGGTAAGATTACAGGAGACCTTCACTTTTTACACTATATAATTTTGAAGTGCTTGCATTTTTTATAACAAGCATATGTTACTATTATAATCAGAAACTACAAAGCAAAACCAGAGGCAGGGGGAATAACAATAAAAGATTTGACTGCATAGAAGGTGAAACCACTTACTGATACATTCTTAATTGATAAGAACAGAAACCAACTGAAATTTTCATCACAGGAGAACAGGTAAATAAATGAGGATATAATCATATAATGGATTATTACACAGCAGCAAAAATTAATGAACAATATCTACACACAACAGTGTAGTTGAATCTTTAATGAAAAAGTCATAGAAGACTATTTTCTGTATTTACCATTTTTATTAAGTATACATTTATGTGGGAGAAACCATATTGTTTTTTAATTTTTATTATGAAAATATTTTTTAAAAAGTAGGCAGACGGGAATAATGAATCCCCATAGAACATCACTCAGATTCAGCAATGATTAACATTTTACCATATTTGTCTAATTTGTCTTTTTTTCTTGGTACAATATTTTGATGCAAATTCCACATGTCATTTATGTCTGCATACTTTACTAAGCATAAGTAAATTTATGGACATTTTCCTACCTAGCAACAAAGCCGTGACCACACTAACAAAATTAACAATTAAGTATTATTTCAGTCCATAATCAAATGTCTCCAATTGTTTCAAAAAATGACTTTTAATAGCTGATTCAGGGCCGGCCCCATGGCTTAGCGGTTAAGTGCGCGTGCTCCACTACTGGTGGCCCGGGTTGAGATCCCGGGCATGCACCAAGGCACTGCTTGTCCGGCCGTGCTGAGGCCGCATCCCACATACAGCAACTAGAAGGATGTGCAGCTATGACATACAACTATCTACTGGGGCTTTGGGGGAAAAATAAATAATAAATAAAATTATAAAAAAAAAAATAGCTGATTCATTTGAATCAGGATCCAAACGGTTCACATGTTACTTTGGGTTGTCATGCCTCTAGGATTCCTAATCTGAGGCAGCTCCTCTCCCATTCTATTTTTGTACATGCTTTTGACTTATTGCATAAACTGAGTCAGTTGTTTCTGTAGAATGTCCCATATTCTGGATTTGTCTGTTGCTCCCCGGTGATGACATTTAACTTACCCCTCTATTGCCTATGTTTCCTGGAAATGAAAGTAGGCTCATGGGCCGGCCCCGTGGCTTAGCGGTTAAGTGCGTGCGCTGCGATGCAGGCTGCCCGGGTTCGGATCCCGGGCGCACACAGACGCACTGCTTCTCCGGCCATGCTGAGGCCGCGTCCCACATACAACAACTAGAAGAATGTGCAACTATGACTTACAACTATCGCTTGGGGCTTTAGGGGAAAAATAAATAAATTAAAAAAAATTTTAAAAAGAAAAAAAAAGAAAGTTGGCTCTTGAGGCCTGGTTAAATTCAGGTTTGATTTTCTTGAGGTTGGTGCTATGAGCATCATGCTGCATCACAGCTGGAGGCCTATAATGTCAGGTTGTCCTGCTTTTAGTGATTCAGAGATTAATCAGCGTTTCTGGTGGCCTCAGCCTGATCTTCCCTTGGTAAAGTTTCCTATCAGTGTTTCATTGAATGCTTTTATCCATTAATGACCATTGACTGGATCAATTATTTCACTAAGGATTGCAAAATGCTGAGTTTCTAATTCTATCATTTGTTCCACATTTATTAGCTGGAATGCAAAATACTGAGTTTCTAATTTTATTATTCCTTCCACACTTATTAATAGGAAGGCTGCTGTAAAGAAGAACTTTCCCTCACCAACTGGGGATATTTGGTTACCCGAAAATACAGTTCACACAGAAAAGGCAAGAGAGGGTGGGAATCTTCATTGATACTGTGCACTGATGTGTCCAAGTGCTGGAATATTGTCTGGAATATACAGGCCACCCAATAAATATTTTTGAATTGAATTGATATCCATATATTGGAATACAATGTAACTCTTTGAAAAGGATAAAGTAAATGTACACCTATCTATATTGACATGGCATAATACTTATATTGTTGAGAGAACAAAGCAAATTACAGAACAGTAAATATAGAATAAGTGCACTTTTATAAAATATATATATTTTAAATGTATCAAAAATAGGATGGATTAATGGGTGACTATGTGATAAGACAAAAAATAAAATGTTAATTATAGAATTTAGATGGTGGCTATATGGGTTTTTCCTGTTCAATTTATTCAGTTTTTTATTATGAAAATGTTCATCACGAAATGTTGGGAAAATATGTGTGTAAAAATCTGTATTTCTAGGGGCTGGCCCCATGGCGTAGTGGTTAAAGTTCAGCACGCTCTGCTTCGGTGGCCCAGGTTCACGGGTTCGGATCCCGAACCCTACACCTACTCATCAGCCACGCTGTGGCGGTGACCCACATACTAAATAGAGGAAGATTGGTACAGATGTTAGCTCAGGGTGAATCTTCCTCAGCAAAAAAAAGAAAAAAGAAAAAATCTATTTCTGAAGAGTGGGTTTGAGGGTAAGGATGGAACTTTTCAGGTTATATACTTTATATAAAGCAAAAATTGTAAATGATCCTTTGACATAGTAATTTCATTTTTAGGAACCTATCCTAATACAGTAATTCTAAACATAGAAAATAGAATTTTTTTTTTTTTTTGGTGAGGAAGATCAGCCCTGAGCTAACATCTGTGCTAATCCTCCTCTTTTTGCTGAGGAATACTGGTTCTGAGCTAACATCTATTGCTAATCCTCCTCCTTTTTTTTTTCCCCAAAGCCCCAGTAGATAGTTGTATGTCATAGTTGCACATCCTTCTAGCTGCTGTATGTGGGACACGGCCTCAGCATGGCCAGAGAAGCAGTGAGTAGGTGCGTGCTCGGGATCCGAACCCGGGCCGCCAGTAGCGGAGCACACGCACTTAACCGCTAAGGCACGGGGCCGGCCCAGAAAACAGAATTAAATATAGAAAAAACTTTTCATGCTGGAAATATTTTATAATAACAAAAATTTGAAAATATCTTGAATTTTCCTGTCTAATAACAGGAAAATGATCACATTATAGTGTAGTAAATAGGTTCATTATAAATGATAAAGACAACGTAAAAATACAGAAAGTGCTTATAGCACAACATTTAGGAAAAAAAATCGTGATACAAAATTTTATTGACATAATTACAATGGTTTTTTAAAATGGTACACACAGACCACATAGTGTTACCATATGACCCAACAATTCCACTCTTCGGCAGGCAGCCAAGAGAAATGAAAACTTGTGTCCACACAAAAACTTGTATATGAATGTTCACAGCAGCATTATTCAAAATAACCAAAAAGTGGAAACAACTCAGATGTCTATCAATTGATAAATGGAGAAACAAAATGTGGTATATCCCTACAATGGAACATTATTTGGCAATAAAAAGAAATACAGTACTGATACCATGCTACATGGATGAATCTTGAAAACATTATGTTAAGCGAAAGAAGCCAGTCACAAAGGACCACATATTGTATGACTCCATTTATCTGAAATGTCCAGAATAGGCAAATCTATAGAGATGGAAAGTAAATTAGTGGTTGTCAAGGGCTGGGGGTTGGAGGGAAATAGCGCGTGATTACTAATGAATATGGGGTTTTTTTAGGGGGGAATGATGAAAATGTTCTAAAATTGTTTGTAGTGATGGTTGCACAACTCTGAATACACTAAAAACCATTGAGCTATACACTTTAAATGGGTGAATTCTAGGGTAGGTGAATTATATCTCAATAAAGCTGTTATAAAAAATTTTTAAGTGGTACACATAGAAAATTGGAGGAAAAAATAAATATGTTTGAGGTGGTAGGGTTATGGGTGATTAAAGTAAATTCTACTTTCCTGTATTTTCCAGTCGTTATGAGTATGTATTACTTTTACCAGGAGAAAATAAACCTTTTTTAAAAGCACCAGATGCATGTTTCAGAGAACTATTTAAATGTAAATAACCAGCATTACATCCATTCCTCTTACCTCTTTGTAGGTTGTGGGTTTTATATTTAAGCTTATCATATTTTTAATGATTTATTAATATATTTTCATAATATATTATAGATATATTTATTTATTTGTCATAATAAGTATATATACTGCGGTTCGGTCAGGAGGAGGGAGCCATGAATTCAGGCGGATGGGGGTGTAGGAAGGGCCATATCAACCCAGGTCCCCTGTTTGCCCAGGATCAGGCCCAGGATCAGAGGGGCAAGGTGGCCCCTCTGCTTAAAAGCCCAAAGCCCCTTCCACTCTCCCCTCAGGCCCCTACCAGAGTCTCTTCCTGGTCTTGTCTCCCCTTCGATGGGGTCACATCCTCACCTGGGGTCACAGCCACCTCCCTCTGGTCGGGGGTTGGGGGAAGTGTCACAGGCCCACTGGCCATGGGCCAGGGCCCCGCCTCCCTCGGCCGGGGTCACAGTTCCACACGCAGGGGCCAGAGCCCCCCTCACCTGGGGTCACTGGCCACAGGCAGGGGTCACAGTTTCACATGCGGCAGAGTCACAGGCCTCTGGCCCAAGACGCGCCCTCCCTCGGCGGGGACTCGGTTTCCCGCGCAGGAATCCCCGGTCCCTCCCCCGCGGTCGGCGGCCCCTCCTCCTGAGCCATGGTCCCCGCCCCGGGGGCCCCAGGCTGTCCCGCGGAGTCCCGGGCGGCCGGGCCCCAGGTCCCGGCGCCTACGCGGGAGGCCGCGGACGACTCGCCGCCTCTCTGGGTCTCCTCGCGGCCGGGGACCGCGAGCCCCGGGGCGGGCGGGTCGGCGCTGCGCTACGTCGAGCGGGGCAGGATGGCGGCGTTCCTGGAGGCCGGCCTGGCGCGGGTGCTCTTCTACCCGACGCTGCTGTACACCGTGTTCCGCGGGAAGGCGCCGGGCCGCGCGCACCGCGACTGGTACCACCGCATCGACCCCACCGTGCTGCTGGGCGCGCTGCCGCTGCGGAGCATGACGCGCCGGGTGAGCCGGGCCGGGAGGCCGGCCTGGGAGCGGGCGAGCGCCGCCCCGGCCCCGCGGCCCTGTCTGAGCCCCCTCTTTGCCTCGGCAGCTGGTGCAGGACGAGAACGTGCGCGGGGTGATCACCATGAACGAGGAGTATGAGACGAGGTTCCTGTGCAACTCCGCCAAGGTGAGAGGCCGGGGTCGGGGCGGGGGGGCAGCTGGGGAGGGGGCGCAGCAGGTGACCGTGACCCAGAGACAGGTGTCCCAGGCTTTTCTGCCTCCTCAGAAGGAGGGTCTGGTCCTCTAAGCTTAAATGGCTGCGGCTGGAGGTAGAAACTAATTGTGAAGTAGAAACTGATGTGAGAGGCATTTACAAGTAGAGTTGACAAAGTCTGACTACTCCTTTGTGCACAAATGTACTCTTAATTTCGGTAACTCAAATCAGTAACCAAAATTGAAAGGCAGCTTTTCTATGGCTTGCTGATTTCATTCATTCAGCACTTACTGAGCACTAAGTATGGATCAGGCCCTGCCACAGGCATTCAAGATGAAGGCCTACAAACTGTGAGAAGAAAAGATAACCCCCCATCCCCCCCACCAGATTAAATTTATCATAAAACAAACCGTTGAAAAACTGCATAGGGTTCATTTGGCTCTGATTTGAGGGAATTATTATTCATATGTTAGAGATATAGTGGAACTCTAAAGCACTGTCATCCAAAGTTCAGGCCTAAAACATAAGTTTCATTAAATGTGAATGCTTGTTTGTGGAACTCACCACAATGGTTATTAGACATTGCCAGATCTTTATAGTGTCTGACATCTGTTAGCACTACACAATTATCTTTCTTGTTTACTGTATTGATATAGCCTGATGAAGATGCTGTTGTTTCATCCAGTAGATTTTTGGAAATCTTAAAAATATTTGTGACTCACAACTATCTCCTGGGGCTTTGGGGAGAAGAAGGGGAAAAAAGGAGGAGGGTTGGCAACAGATGTTAGCTCAGGGCCCATCTTCCTCAGCAAAAAGAGGAGGATTGGCACGGATGTTAGCTCAGGGCTGATCTTCCTCTCACACACACACACAAAATATATATATATATATATAGATTAGTGATGGCATACATTTTTAAGGAATGGATAATAGTTCCTTGGATTTCCCAAAGTACTTTGCCACAAGGCAAAGTTATTAGCCAGGAGTTATTGGAGTTATTAGCCAAAATGGTAAATGTTCCTTAGTGTGGTCCGTTCTGCAGAGCAAGAGGAGTCACAAAAAGTGCTTGGTCTCTGAATGTGAGGCTTTGACATTTGTACCATGTGACTATATTATCCCACTAGCCGAGAGAAAAGAAGTCTCCAAGGCAGTGGTTCTCACATTTTAATATGCCTACGAATGATCTACGAATGGCAGTCTTGTTCAAATAGCAGATTCCTAGGTACAACCCCCGGCGATTCTGAGTCAGGAACTTTAGGGTGGGCCTAGGAATCTGAATATTGATCAGGCTCCCCTGGTGTTTCTCGTGTAATTGATGCATAAGCCACATGTTGCAAAACTGCTGTTTTTTGTTAATTTCATGAGGAGTATAAAATATTGACCTTCATTCAGAGTCATAAAATCTCTGGTTCCAGCTAAAGAGATTAATAAGAGTAGCTGGAACCCATATGATGTCTTAAAGCAAAAAAAAACAATTGCCCATTTACCAGAGGCCTTATTTCTCTTATTTCTTCTTCTTCTTAAGTGATAGTATTGCACTAACAAAGGTAGGTGTGTTTTAATTTTAAAAATAACTATTTTCTACCACGTCCTCTCAAAAAAAAGTGGTAAAAAAGAGGAGACCTGTGGACAGAGAAATAGAAAGCTCTTGCAAAATACCGTAGCCCAACCCTGCAGCTGAATCACTGCACAGGTGCCAAGATTATGCAAAAACAGTTACACAACCTTTGTAGATGAATTTTATACAGGTAATATTTTTGCAGCTAAAGATTCAAGTACCCAAAGGGTACTTTAAGAACACTTTAAATCTTGGACATAATTCTAACTCAGCAGCACAACTGTTTGGTGAAAGACCAACCATGTAGGTCAGCCATTTTAAAGACATTTCTGTAAGAAGTTTCTTGTTTAGAAAACAGTAAACTGTATATTCACATTGTAGTAAACCCTGAAGCTTCCTTGTTGCTTTGCTTCCTCTTGGGAGCCCATCTTCATACCACTCACATTAGGCTTTTTTCATTCTCTTTGTTTTGCTGGTGGACCTGGTTCCAGGAGTGGAAGAAAGTAGGAGTCGAGCAGCTGCGGCTCAGCACAGTAGACATGACTGGAATCCCAACCTTGGCTAACCTCCAGAAAGGAGTCCAGTTTGCTCTCAAGTACCAGTCGCTGGGCCAGTGTGTCTACGTGCATTGTAAGGCTGGCCGCTCCAGAAGTGCCACTATGGTGGCAGCGTATCTGATTCAGGTAGGAAAGGTCTTTCCGGTCCCATTTATAGCAGATTTCCAGAACTTCAGTAGCATGGTCTACTGGCCAGCCTTGCTGGAAGGAGCCATGTCCCCAACTTCAGGCTGTTGGGAGGTGGAAAGCACCTGAGCTTTGCAGATAAGCTGACCCCTGGCTTTGCCACCTACCAGTTGTGTGACCTCAGGCAAAAGTGGCTTCCCCTCTCTGATGTTCACTTTCCTCAAGCTAAATGTGTTATGAAGCTTGAATAAGAAAGTCTGGCAAGCACTGACCTACAGCAGGCACTCACAAAAATGGAGTTGCAAAGGATGTTAACACCAGGAAAAGGGGCCGGCTCTGTGGCTTAGCGGTTAAGTGCGTGCGCTCTGATGCTGGCGGCCCGGGTTCGGATCCCGGGCGCGCCCCAAGGCACCACTTCTCCGTCCAGCGCGAGGCTGAGTCCCACGTACAGCAACTAGAAGGATGTGAACCTACGACATACAACTATCTACTGGGGCTTTGGGGGGAAAAACATGAATAAATAAAATCTTTAAAAAAATTAAAAAAAAAAAAACACCAGGAAAAGGCTAGAAACACTTGTTATAAATAGCATGTCAGGGAATCTAGTATTGTAAATAGTGCTGATCACTTACAGCCCTCGAGTACTCAGATTTCTTCACGTATTTCAGAGTAAAGTTCTGGACACTGGCTTCTAGAAACCGAAGATCCAATGGAATTTTGCTTGTTAATTTGTTATGATTGGCAGATGAGATGCTTTTAGAAATCTTTAGAAGCAAACACTGTCTAGTTGGTCATTCTGTTATATGCTGCAGCTTGACTCATTTTTGTTACCTGTCTGGCCCCTTCAGAGCATTTACTAAGTCATGTGGATAGTTTAAGGAAAAAGGAAATGTCAAGATAGCCAGCCTGGCCTTGTTTGTGTTACTGTGGACTGCTGGGCATATGATTTAACAATACTAAAGCTTTGGTCATTAGGACTCTGTTTGCTGGAAACAGGGTCTCAGGAGGATATTTTGGGCCAAGTGAGAATTGAACCAGCAGGCTAGAAATCTATATTTTCCTGGCTCTGTTGAGTTCTAAACCAATAACTATCCTTAGGACACAAAGATAACCCTCCTAGTTAAATTTAAAAAGTGCTCTGTTTTTCTAGCCATGGTAGCAAGTTGCATAAAAACATCTACTGTACAACTAACTCTTTCCAGGAAACTTGTACACAATGGTTCCTCTCAGAGAGGACATCTAGTAGGCCTAGGCAGGCTTGAATCTAGGATCTCAGCCTCACATGTTCAACTTTCTTTTTTCAGGATTTGGCAAAGCAAGAATTAGGTAGAAAGACTGCCTTGTGCCCCAGTCTGTTGCATGATACTGTGCAACTGGTTGACTGAGGGGTTCAAGTGCTCTCCCATTTATAATATATGAGGCAAGGCTTTTAACTCCCCAAAATGTAGGTTTTTAAAAAATGAAATTGTGGGAGCCCTTTAGCACTTGTCATTAGGTCAAGAACCCCTTAACACCCGCCCCTTTCTTTCTCTGCTTTCCCACCCCTGTTCTTCAGGTGCACAACTGGAGCCCAGAGGAGGCTGTAGGGGCCATCGCCAAGATCCGGTCACACATCTACATCAGACCTGGCCAATTTGAGGTTCTCAAAGAGTTCCACAAGGAGATTACTGCAGGGGCAGCCAAGGATGAGACTTGTCACACATCAGAGACATGAAGTACGCGGATACGTGGATTAGAAAGAACTCAGGACAACCCTGCTTGCTACAGAATAAAAAAGTTTAACAGGACCAAAGGGACTTGAGCCCAGACTTGACATAATAGAAATGTGTTAAGTAATGGATAATTTTACTTCCTTTGTCTTGTTTCACTTGCCTGAAATAACACTGTTGTATGGCTAGAAAGATTCAGTGTGGCTTCTATTCACGGAGTATGGGGATATGGGAGAGGGATGAGGGTATTTCTTGAATAGGGTCAAAGAAATTATTGTGCATCTAATGTTGTGCCTGGTGATATTTAGCACCATAACTCAGAGACATTTAACACGAGGCAAAGAGGGGAGAAATACTCAGCTCGGGCTCTTCGCCACTGTCAGAATCCCAATTCACTGGCCCTGTCGGGCTCTCCTCACTTTTGGAGCAGTGATCCTGTACGTAGAAAAGGAAGTATGGGATTCAATCAAGATTGTGGCTGATGTAGAAACACGTGGGTATGTAATTAGTTTCCCTTAGGAAGTCACCCCTTCAGAATTCAAAACAGACACACATATCCTTTGAAAAACTTTTATTTGTATGAACAGTTCCTAGCTCTTGACTTAGCTTAGAGCTTTTACAAGAGTAGAGAGCTTATATATTTGAGTTTGAAAAAAGTTTCTGCTATTAATCAGAAATAATCCTCTCTGCTTCTTTCTGGCTTACTCCTTGGAATAAGCCAAAAATAAAACCAAAGTATGCATTTCCTGACAGGTAGATGAGAAAACAATAGACGGAAGGTCCTGAATTCTAGAGTTGACTTGCTGGTGAAGGACACCTTCAGCTTAGTCCATTCTCCCAACCACTCTAACACCTAATTCCTTGTGGAAAAATTACCAACTAGCCACTTTGCAGGCTACAGAAAAACAGGAAGACTGGGCATCTTTCCTTCTGTCCTGGGATCAAGGTGCTTCTATTTAACAGTGATCAGGTAAGGAGGGGAGGCTGTGCCTAAGATCTGAGAAGAGGCTTGCTCTAAGCAATCTGTAGTGAGGCACAGGATTACCAGGGGAGAGCAGGGAACAGGCTCGCCTACTCTCAGTTCAAGCAGCCAGCTGAGTCTAGAAAGCCCCAAACGGAACACCCTATGGGTTCAGGGAAGGGCTAAGGTGCTGCCTTGCTAACATGTGCCAAGAAATAACACAGTACTGAGTTAGGACCTTGGGGACTTCCAGTTTGGATGGGTAAGGTGCTGGAAAAGGGGAGGACAAAAGTCAGCTGCTCTTCCCCCCTAGAGCCTTAGGCCAACACAAACTGCAAATTGGTAAGCAGCACTTTAATGCCTCTGGTGACAGTTACAGCTGAAGTGGCAGGGTCAAGCTTGTAGGTGTTGGCATCCCCCTTTTTATATCGGTCCCGAAAAACATAGATGCTCCCGTTACAGCTGGCGATCTTCCAGAGGGATGGGGCAGAGCTCCAAGCCTCAGGAAGGCAAAGCCGGGTAAAGCTGTCTAGCAGGGGATTGTAGCACACCAGGGAGTCCCCTTCAGCCACGATGAACACCAGATCCTTGTGCACAGCTGCGTGCATGCAGCCTGCGAAGGGCAGCACATAGGGCTTCACGTGGCACTTGTCTGTCTCTGTGTCAAAGCACTGGATGAGTCGGGAAGGTTTGGTAAAGAAGTCCAGGTCATTCTCCTCCCCCCCTAGTAAATAGATGATCCCGTTGAGGTTGGCACCAGCGGCCCCTGACACAGCCACCTCTAGCTGGGTTGTCTCTGTCCAAACGTTATCACCTACCCGGTAATAGATAACTGCATTGGAGAGGGTATCCTGCAGTGTCTTGCCACCCAGTGAATAGATGGCATCTTTCCCGGGCACAGACACCAGGGTGTGCTGCAGCCGGTCCCGGGGCAAAGGCGCACACCACTCCCAGTCCACGGTGGCATTGTTGCACTTCCACATGCGCCGTGCGATGGACCCTCCCACCACATACAAGTCTCCACCGTGCTTGCAGGCTGCAGTGATCTGGTGGCACAAACTGTTTTGGCCACTTACACTGATGGAGTCATCTTCCGCACAGTGCAAGGACACAGCCAACGAGTGGGTACGAGATGACCCTTTCCCGATCAGGTAAATGTGCACATTCTCCCCAATTTCCTATTGGCAAAATTAAAATTATAAATGATATCTAGCAGTTCTAAGCTAAGGCTCAGCTGAGACACATATCCTTAAGGTCCTGGACCATACATTTGTATCCTGTGCTAACTTACTCCCCTTAGTTACTACATGTCATCCTGCCTCTCCTCCAACCACTTTCTTTCAGGCATTTTGTGCTGGGGCAGAGAATCTGTTGCACTCATCCTTCTAGCTTTGTTAAAACTGTCATGAGCTGGTGCTTCAGACAGAGGGTGTTGAGGATTGTTAACGCAACGATGAAAGCAGTTCTGTCAAGGAGCTTTGGAGCTCAGAGGCTGGCGGCTTCTGGGCTCACGCACACATTCTCCTCCCCAGCTCTTATCAACTTCAAGCCAGAGACGAATTACTTACCGGCCATCAAAGAGGCCAGGCCAATTGACGGCTGGAATGCATGGATATTATCATGTCCCAACCATAAAGAAATCTGCCTTACCTTCAAGCTAGTCCTGAGTGACTCTGCAAAAGCCTCTCTTTCCTCTTTATTAAAATTGATCCAGGCTTCTATTGCCTCTGTTGGGTTCTGGGAACATGGAACTCCATCTGTGAGAGCCAGAGGAAAGGCACGGTCAATGGTAATCCGACAATCCGAAAGAGAAATTTACAGCCAAGGGCTTTAAAGCCATGAACCACTTTGTTCGACTACCACCATGTATATGTATGTGTATGAGAAATTAACCTAAAATTGCCGTGTTTCTTTTAGTCAAAATGGATGCCTTATTACGCTCCCATTTGCCATGGGAGCAATCTACTAGGCTACAGAGCTCACACCTACAGTGTGATTATACCTCCCTTGCAGGGTCAGGATTTTACCTAAAGTTGGCCCATCACTTAACAAGTTTTTTAGATATCCTGACTCATCATCAATTGACTTAGCTAACTAGTCCCACAGGTATGTGCAAATTGCAGGACTGAGAACACTTATGCACATAAATACAAATAGCTCCTCACTACCTCTTGTGGGTTAAGTGCTGTTGCTTTTATTTTCCTGGCTTCTTCCTCTGCGAGGCACTGTGTCTCTGAGAGCAGCTACACGAAATGTCAACTCAATCTCTCTCAGAAAGTTTCTAAATTCCTACCAGGAATAATGGAAACTTACACCAGGAAGCCTGAAGGTTCCTTTCTCCTGAACTAGAACATCCACTGAACATCACACCCCTCCCTCAACTTACCTGAGATGATATCAGTGAGGAGATGGTGGGGCAAGTGGAGAAATTCCTCTGTGCTCTGCAGCTGGGCAAGGTGGGCCTTGGCACAGTGCTTGGCAGCAGTGTAGAGCTCAGGATCACTGTGCCGATCTGCCAGCCACATCACCTGAAGACAGTTCCCCACCTGCACTGTGCGCGCCAAAAACCGAGAACATTCCTCAAAGAGAGATGTCAGCTGATACATGTCTGACACCTCATAAATTTCCTGAAGCTCATCAGCTCGGAGTTTCACAGTCCCGTGGTAGATATAATCAACCAGGAGCTGGAAAACAGACTCGCTGACATCCTGCAGCACAATCATCCGGTTGTGGGCCTCCTTCAGGTTGGAACTGAACATGGACCGGAAGAAGCAGCTCTGAGCTGAGAGGACCAGCCGGTGGAGCTGAAACTCCCGGCCTTCCACTGAAATGGTGACATCAGCAAAGAGCTCTTCCTCCAGACACAGTTTCATGATGCCCTGAGCCACACGGCCTGAGTGTGACCGATCTTTGAAAGTGTAGTTCACAAAGTAGTTCTCATCCATAGACGCTCCAGGCTCCTCTGGTGACTCCATGGTGGCCAGCTTCTCTCTCTGCCAGCTGTCTGCAAAGCAACACCACCCTGCGTAACTTGGGGAATCCACAGCCACAGCTGATGAAGCCAACTGTCCAATTCAGGGAGGGAGAAGGGAAAAGTGAGAGCAAAGTGGGTCCAGACTGGCCTTAGTCCTGGCTCTGCCAAGAACATCTCTGATGCTCTCCTTCAACAAAAGCTGTGTTCATTCTCCTGCAGTGGCACCCCATCCCTAATGAAATCAACAAAATGTCCTACTCTGGACGTTTCCCTGAGAAAACACGGAATGTTCCTCTCCATGACGTAACAAAAGATTGGTATTTAGGTCAACACATGAAAGCAAGGGGCTGGAAGCAGCCTGTTATCTTAAAAGCCTGGCAAAAAGCCTTACTAAGCAAACAACTACTGGGCATAAAACTAGTGAGGCTCGGGGCAGTAGAACCAGACCAAAAAGACCCCTATGTCCTTGTGTCCAGCCCCTCCCGCCCCCCACGCAGTACGGACTTTCCAGTGGGAGGATTGGCCTGGGACATGGGTCAGCCCACACGCTCGTTTCTGAGCTTCTCCCCCACTCGCCCTCATCACTCCCCAAGGCTGCGTCCCAGAACTCGAGACAGGCCGCCGCCCCCAGCCCGGGGGCCGAGGAGGGCTATCGCCCAGAGCAGAGTCCCCGCTCCACCAGGAGTCGCCTGGGAAACGGTCGCCAGGGAAACCGTTCTCCTCCACTCCCCCAACCCGCCCTGCCCGGCGGCCCTCGTCAAAGCTTAGCTCAGGGAGCGGGGGAGGGGTGTGGAATGTGTAACCCAGAACCCTCGCCCCTTCCCCTCTTCTCACCCGTCCGCTTCTTTAGGATCCTCGCCTTCTCTCCAGGCTCTGTCACACCAAGCTAGGGCCACGCTCACCTCACGGTTTCCCCACCTGCCCGCTTCGCTTTCTCACCTGCGTTCCCTCCTTTCATTCCGAAGCCCGGAATCCGGAACCTTTGCTTCCGGCCCCACGTCCGCCCGGAAGAGGATCGGATGCACACTTCCGCTTCCGGTCCGTGCCCTTGGGGCTCCGTGTCCTGTGAGTCTTGCCGCGGGTGCCTGGTCTGCGTCTGGAGAACATGGCGGCGGCGGCGGTGGCTAGGGGCTGGTGGCGGGGTCTCGTCGGGGCCGTGGCGCTGGCCAGGGGTGAGCAGGGTTCAGTCGACTGAGGCCTGGGGCAGGAGCAGCGGCGCGCCCAGCGCAGGGAGACCCTCAGGCCTCACCCTCGCTC